GTTCACTACCTTGGATTGACTATATTGTGTGTGTGTGTGTGTGTGTGTGTGTGTGTGTGTGTGTGTAGGATAAAAATATAATAATGATAACACCAATAATAATAATAATAATAATGCCAAAGTATGACATTCTTTATATATTTCTAAACTTGGTAATTTCTTGTAATGAACTTCTTGTTCACTAAACATTGATATACATAGCAATATTATTTAATAACTAGAGTACTATTTTTATATTATTTTTTCAGTTCCATGGTATAATTTGCATTTTAATATAATTTAATTTAATATATTTCTTTATCAATGGCATGTATAATCAGCATAGTTTGGTAACTGCTAAAGCCCTTGGTCTCCAGAAGACTGCTTTCCTGAATTTCTGCTTGCTACAGTATGTGTTCCCAGGATTATCCATTCATTCACTTGGGCAAGTGAGGAGGAACAATAGTGAAGATCAAATAGCAGTTACCATAATGGCTATTATTTTGCTTATATTTGAATGCATTTGGGGTAGTAGTACAATACTTATCTACCCAGGAAAGAAGAGTTATGGCAGGTATAGCAACAATACTGGTTTTGGAAAATCCAAATCACCGTATTTGGATAACAGGTCTCCAATTTTCATTGTAAGAGCATTTCTTGAAAAAAAAGGAAGCATTTGTATAATAAAGATCATGTGCTCTATAGCAGTGCAAGAACTCTGAAAAATTGGTAGTATTGCTGTAATTATGATAAAAAAATCTTAATCAGTTTTGCAAACTTCATTTATTTGAGTGATGGGTGTCTCCTTGTGAGATCCATGTAGCTGCTTAGCTTTTCTTCCATGAACTTTGAAACAGAGGCAAACATGCTGGGTTCTGACCTTTTGAAAAATTATACATTTCAGTACTATTTGAAAAATGTATGTCTAATATTTATTAAAATAGATTTATATCTTATAAAAATATTGCTACTATATAAATCAGAAATGCTCTATCTGGACCAGAATTCAATCCCATCTACTACATTGTTTGACAGTAAACTAATTTCAGTAAGAACATTTAAGTGAAGGTTATTATGCTTTTCAATCATCATAATGAATTGATTTTTCTGAATGACCTCTCCCTAGTTAGATAATAACTTACCTGTGCATACGTATGTGTTTGACCTGGCAGATATCAGTCCACCAGCACAAGGTGTGGATCACAGACAGGTCCAAAAAGAGCTTGGTGATGTAATTGTGCGGCTACATAATCCTGTTGTGCTCACCCCTACCACAATTCAAGTGACCTGGACGGTAAGACATTTGGAAAATATATAGTAAAAGCTCTGAACTTCCTAAATTTTCCCTTAGGGAATTGTTCTGTGATATTTTAATAGCTACTTTATTTACAAGTAAATGCTATAGTTTTCTCTTGACCAGAAGCCTGTCTTAAGAACTTCTTAAAGGGCATTCTCTGAGAATTCACTTTATTTTTAGGGAGCTGGTTTGGCAGATGGCAGAAAATAATTTTGGTATTCTGACTGCTGGCAAACAACTACTTACCACTCCTACTTTCTGTTTTACTCTTTTACTTTATTTTCTTGGAAATCATCTAAAAATATATACATTGTGCTGCTGCATATTTTCTATTCATTGGATAAGAGTAAAAAAATATTTGACATTTCTACTACTATTTTACTCTAGAAAAAAAAGTAGATTGTTTTTAATTTATACCAAAGACAAAGGCTGAACTGCTTAATAATTTTTTCATTATTTGATACATGCTAACAATTATATGCAAGCTTTCATTGTTTACATTTCTGTTTTATTAGAAATTAAAAAGTAGATTGTATGTTGGAAATAATTTTTTCTGATGACTTTATTTCTCTGTGAATAATTCCCTGGGATCACATGGGGGCTTTTGATTCACCTGTGTACTTCTTTTCATGTAAAATCTATGTGTGTGTGTTTGTATGTGTGTGTGTACTCTATCTTTCATCTATGCACACTCAAACACACGTGCATACTTAGAATAAATTTGCTTTCTCTGTAAATGGAGCATACTTATCATGTTTGACTGCATGGTACTTATTTTGAGTAAATACACATAAGAATCAGCAGGAAAAAAATCTAGCGGTCTCCAAATGTCTTACTTATTATTAAAATTGTGTAAATCAGCTGGCATAAGAAAGGAGTGTCCTTTACTGATCCTATGGATCCAAACCCTCTTTCCTGTAGATATAATTTCTGCTGAGGTGCATTTTCTTCTTTTGATATTTATTTGCATTATGTCAATAATAAGTTGAGTTGCTATCCATATTTGTAAACACATGTGTAGAAGTATAGTACAATTAGATTATGTTAAAACAGTAGCATCAGAGAATAAATTATTATTAGCTAGGGCAGTAGCAATTTAGAAGATCTTGTTCTGGGAAATCCTGGTTTAGAGAGAAGAAGTGTATGTGGTCTTTTAAAAAATCCACTCAGCAATTCTACTCTTAAAGAAATAGCACTTCTTTTTTAAGCTAGCATAAAAGCCTGAAAAATGTTGAGTAACCCTAATGAATAACAGGGACTTCCAGTTGTGATGGCGCCATTAGATGGCTATTGCCAATCTACAGTACTCCTTACACTTTATATCCTGATAATTGTTGTGGCTGTCTCCTCAAGTTTAGAGAAGATCTGAGAGCTGTTAAAAACACTGTTAATATTGTAAGTAACAGAATGGATATGGCTGAAAACAAAATATCTCAAATGGAAAGTGAAAGAAATCAATGGATACATCTATAACTAAAGGTGGTTAAGATGCTTCAGGATAAGATAGGATCTATGAAATCTTATGCTTGCCTTGTCATTGAAATTCCAGAGGAGACTCAGTAACGCCAGCAAGTTCACTTTATTGGCTCTTATGGAAGATTATAAGATAAATATTGAGTTGGATCACCATGTTCCAGTTCCTCCTTTCCAGGCATCTGATAAGACCTCACTATTTATTATGGTGTTATTCAGATTTGTGTGAGGAATAAAAAATTAATTATGGCCCATATTGCACATATAACTGCATAGAGAGATAAAATGTCTCACGTTATGCTTTTCTCTCATTTTACTAAGGAAATCCATCACTACCAAAAATATTTAATACTGTGAAAAATAGCATTCAAGAGAAGAAATATCAGTACTTCAGATTTTAGCCATCTCATTTATGAAATTATCAAATGATACTCAGAATTCATTTCATAATTGTGAGGAAGCTGAAAAAAATCTTATTTAAGATCCTGTTAAAATAAGACTTTTTTCCTTCTTTGTTCAGACATTTTGCTATTTCATTCGTTCATATTCAGCCTTTAGATTTTAGTTATACACAATTTATTTCTAATTCTATATGATCTTGGATACAGGAACAGTTAAAAATTGTAATTTTTTCCCCAGTTTTTTTCCCCCTTCTTTTTTTCCTTCTCCTCTTCATCCTCATTCTCCTCCTCTTTCTGGACCTTCTATATATTTGATTATATGGATTCCTTCCAGTTAGGTTTCAGGCTAGGATACATTACTAAGGCAACTTTGGTCACACCTGTAGATGACCTGTGGTGGATCTGGCAGCTATCCTTCTGTCATTGACTTCTTGACAGCCTTTGATTCTATCAATCATGATATCCTTCTGAACCTTATTAGAGGTTTGGGAATTGGGAACACTGTTTTGCAGTGGTTCTCCTCCTTCCTCCAGGGACAATTCTAGTCAGTGTTGATAGGGGAGAGCAGTCTAATTCTAGACCCCTGTTTTGCAGGTGCTACAGGGCTGTCTCCTCTCCTCTTTACTATGTACATGAAGCCACAGGGAAAGGTCATCCATTGACATGGGGTTGTACATCTCTGCCTCTGGATGCACAACCAAAGCTGTCATGGTTCTGTTCCAATGTCTGAAGGCTGTAACTTTAACAGGAAGGATGTTATTTAAAAGACATCAGAGGTGTGCCTTTTCTGTAGCAGACACTGCCTTTTGAAACAGTTTTCTCCCAATATATGTTTGGCTCTGACCTTGCAGGCCTTCAGAAAGCGGTTAAGATCTGGCTTTTTCCTCAGACCTTTGCATCAGGATGAATAGAGTCCCTGTTGGTTGAATTACAGTATATTTTACTGCTGGACTTCATTTTATTGTTTGCTGTAGCTGGATTTAATGCTAGGTGCTGTTTTCTTTGGTGTTTTGCATTTTTTTTAATGTAATATAAAGGGATACTACATAGAGCCCTTTGTCTTTGCTCACTGTTTTCAATATTAATATCAACTTGTAGTATTTTTGTAACATGTAATGGTACATTATTGTGATCTCTTGCTAAATGCAGATAAATCTTAACAAAGTTAGATGGGAACTGAACTTGAGAAGGAAATCAATTGCACAGGATGAACTACTTTTATTGAGATTGGCTACAATAACAAAATCAGGGTTTAAAAATATTTCAGCCTCCAATGCCTAGGTAGTAATAACGACTTGATTAATTCTTATTTTCTCATTCTTTCATATCTAAAGTTAACACATGTGATATGAATTCTATTATAATTTCAGAATGTCCCCCCTCAAGGCTTATTACTGTAGCTGATTACAAAAAAAAAAAAAAATGAATACCAGAGAAATGTTTTGCTTACCCCACAATGTTTTTTTTTTCATGTTTTGAAATCATTTTCAAAGCATGTACAGCTCTTGAGTAGGATGGTTGGTCTCAAGTGCTACCTCTAGCCTTAAAAAAAAAAAAAAAAGGCATAGTGTTTCAGAGAAGAAATTAAGCTCTTATCCTGAATAGTATTTTATTTTCAAAAGTTGCTGAAATACTATTCTGTTTTCAAAATCTTATTCCATTATACCCAACCAGAAATCCAAGCAAAAATGTAATGAAGCTACATTCAGTTCTTCATATTCTGTAAAGGAAAGGTGATTTATAAAGCCATCCAGAAGAGGAAACACATATGCTTTTTCTGAAACACTGCCTGGATTTCTGCTTACCTTTTCTTTTATGGTGCCTGTCTTAAGAAACAACTTCCCAGCCCAGATTCGTATGACAGTTGGATGTTCCTGACCCTGCTGGCTTTTCCCCAGGCATTAGGGCCAGGATGTCATTCGGACCTTGGTGTGTGCATCTTTCCTTTTGTTATTAGAGAGATTCTTAAGGTGCCTAGCATAGTTGTTCTTTTAAATGGGTTCTGTTTGTTTATTGTGATTTTGTCTTTATATCATCTTGTTCAGCCAGAATTGTGCTGGTTAAGATGGGTGGCCATCTAAATTTGTTAAATAAATAAATCAAACAAACAAACAAACAAATAAATAAATGTGATGAAACCTATGACTTAGCAGGCATAAGAAAACTGCTAAACTACTTTCTCGGACTCTCACTGCAGCACATTTTGTCATTTGCTGCAAATGTTAGTTTCAATAAACTGGTAAGCGGACTGTTTCCAGATATACCGCACATATAACATATTTAACTGAAAGACAATACTTGGGTTGCAAGCCATAATTTATGTTTTCTATCTAACTTCATCCATTGAGATTAGGGTAGAATAACAAATCTTTGGAAAAGCATTTATAACTTTGAGATCAATTTTCCACTACAACCACCGATCCAATAAAATGTAATAATAGTTATATTTTCATGCTGAGCATTGTCAGTGATGCTTTTTGGCTGTCTTATGTTCTTCATCCTTCTGTATTCAGTTTGCCAGAAGCAATACTTGAAATGAAAAAAAAAATGTTTTTGTAGGTGTCTGAGCAGCATATACTGTATTGGACATTATATACTGCTACATCAATTTGTTTTACAAAGTAAATTTAATAGAGTAATTAATTCATTGAGAACAGAAATGGGCAGCCATAATTATGAAATTTGCAAGCTGGCTTGAGAATAATTTTGTCCCAGCTGCCTTTAAGCTATGCAAGGCCAACATTCTGAGAACATTGTTTTATGGAACTCAGTTGTGTATTATAAGTTTCAATCTTTCATTGTATACAGTCTAAATTTCTAAAAATAATAGTATGCATCACTCACTCAACCTCCAATGTTCTAATGTGATTACAATTGGGCTGCATCTCTTTACATGATAGATCTGAATCCGCTTTGGGAAATCAAATAGATCAAGTTCTGATGTATGGTGGTCTGTCAATACCAGCCTTAATAAAACCTTAGCAGAATTCAAGCAGAGGATGTTCAATCAGATAAGGCCAAAATTTCCCATCTTTATTATAGTAGAATCATCCCCTCATCCTGGACTCTCCCTAGGTGTTTGTTCATTTGTTTTTTATGATCATGCATGTTTCACATAGAAAG